CCCCCCGTGTCCCCGTGTCCCCCCCCGGGCCAGCCCCGCTGGTTTGAGAGCGCGCTAAGTGCCCCTCTCGCGGCGTTAATCAAATTACCCGGCAGCGAAAATTGACGCTTCTCATTAATTAGCCACGATTATGCTAATTGCGCATTCAAATTTATGCGCCGCGAGCAGAAGGTGCTCGGCAGCGGCGCCGGGCATTTGCATATTCAATGGTAATTAGCGATGCTAATTAATGCGCCGGCCCCGTATTTTTAACTCGCGGGGGTTCAGCCCCAGCTCCCCCCCCCGCCAACCTGGGGCAGGGATTTAGGGGGGATTTGGGGTTTTTTTGGGGGGGTTTGGGGTACCCTCCCCGGCCGCGCTGTCCCGGGATGGCGGGACCGTTTTCCCGGCGTTTTCCCGGCGTTTTCCCGGCGTTTTCCCGGAGTTTTCCAGCTCCTTCCTTGCCCTGATTACCACCCGCGGGGCGGGAATGGGATTATGGGATTGTGGGGAATGGGGGGACCCCCCCCTTCTCCTGTGTTGTCCCATAGGGTGGGACCCCCTTTCTATGGGGTCGGGACCCCCTTGGTGTGGGATCCCCTTTTTGTGGGATCCCCCTTTTCCGTGGGGTTCTAGAAATGAGACCCTTTTTTGTGGGACCCCCTTTTTGTGGGATCCCCTTTTTGTGGGATCTCCCATTTTGTGGGGTCCCCCTTTCCATAAGACCCCTTTTTATGGGATCCCCCTTTCCATGGGGAGCCCCTCGCTGTAGGATCCCCCTTTTCCATGGGATCCCCTAAATGAGACTCCCCTTTTTGTGGGATCCCCTTTTTGTGGGATCTCCCTTTTTGTGGGATCTCTTTTTTGTGGGATCCCCTTTTTCCATGGGATCCTCTCTCCCTATGACCCCTCCCTCCATGGGATCCTCTAAATGAGACCCCCTTTTTTTTGGGATCCTCCTCTTTTTTGGGATCCCCCCTTTTTTGGGATCCCCCCCTTTTTGGGATCCCCCCTTTTTTTGGGATCCCCCCCTTTTTGGGATTTCCCCTTTTTTTGGTTCACCCTTTTTGTGGGATCTCCCCTTTTTTTTTGGGATCCCACTTTTTCCACGGGGAGCCCCACACCGTGGGACCTCCCCCCATCCCATGGGATCCTCTCTCCTTGTGCCCCCCCTTTCCATGGGATCTGCTTTTTGTGGGATCCCCCTTTCCGTGGGATCCCCTTTCCCCGTGATCCCTTTTCTCTGGGATCCCCTCTCTGTGGGACCCCCTTTTTATGGGATCCCTTTTCCCTGGGATCCCCTTTCCATGGGATCCCCTCATCCATGGGATCCCTGTGGGGTGGGACCTCCTTTCCCCAGAATCCCCTTTTTCCATGAGATCCCCTTTTTTTGTGGGATCCCCTTTTTGTGGCATCCCGGTTTTTTTGTGGGATCCCCTCACCCATGGGACCCCTGTTCTGCAGGATCCCTTTCCACGGGATCCCCCTTTCCACGTAACCCCTTTCTCTGTGGGATCCATGGGATCCTTGTTTACCCTGGGATCCCCTTTCTGTGGGATCCTCTCTCCCTGAGACCCCTTTTCCATAGGATCCCTTTTTTTCTGGGATCCCCATTCTCTGGGACCCCCTTTTGTGGGATCCCCTTTTTTGGGATCCCCTTTCCAAGTAACCCCTTAATGTGGGATCCCCTTTTTTGTGGGATCCCCTTTCCCTGGGACCCCATTTCCATGGGATCCCCATTCTCTGGGATCCCCTTTTTTGGGATCCCCTTTCCATGTAACCCCTTTTTTGTGGGACCCCCCTTCCCTGGGATCCCCCTCCATGTCCCCCCAGCCTGACCCGGGGGTGTCCCTAAACCCCGTGTGACCCCAGGGATTGGCCTGGGGGTCCCAACATTCCCAGGGGTCCCGGTGTCGGATGGGGAGGGACATTGGGATGGGGACATTGGGATGGGACATTGGGATGGGGACACTGTGATGGGGACACTGTGATGGGACATTGGAATGGGGACAGGGTGGGACACTGGGATGGGGACACTGTGATGGGGACACTGGGATGGGACATTGGGATGGGGACATTGGGATGGGGACACTGGGATGAGACATTGGGATGGGGACAGGGATGGGGACACTGAGATGGGGACACTGGGATTGGGACAGGGTGGGACACTGTGATGGGGACACTGGGGTGGGGACACTGGGATGGGACATTGGGATGGGGACAGGGTGGGACACTGTGATGGGGACACTGGGATGGGGACATTGGGATGGGGACACTGTGATGGGGACACTGTGATGGGACATTGGGATGAGGATACTGGGATGGGGACAGGGTGGGATATTGGGATGGGGATAGAGAGGGACACTGGGACAGGGACAGGGATTGGGGACAGGGATGGGGACACTGGGATGGGATGGGGACACTGGGTTGAGGACAGGGTGGCAT